CTGTCAGTCACTGGCTGCAGAAGACAGCGGAGCACGTGTTCGGCAGTGTGCTGTGCAGCCCTGGCTGCTTCAGTCTGTTTAGAGCAGAGGCGCTGATGGACGACAACGTGATGAAGAAGTACGCCACCAAGTCCACAGAGGCGAGCCACTACATCCAGTATGACCAAGGTGGAGCTTCCTGTCTGTCTTTCAGTTTTGGTGATGGCCGTCACAATGAGTTCCTCCTTTCTCCTCTCACATATATTTATTTACATTTAGGTGAGGACCGCTGGCTGTGTACTTTGATGCTGAAGCAGGGATGGAGAGTGGAGTACAATGCAGCTTCTGATGCCTACACCAACGCACCTGAGGAATTCAAAGAGCTCTACAACCAGGTGAGTCATACAGTGAATCTGATCATTTCCTCAAATATTATGATCCATATATTTACCTGCAGTGTTCAAAATCTGCACATCAGCATCAGATCTCATTGGGTATAAGCTTTCATTTATCCAAAAATTACAGCAGTCATACTAAGATGTATTTGCCATCTTTAGCGCCGGCGATGGGGGCCGTCCACACTGGGCAATGTGGCGGATCTACTGGGCTCCACCAGCATTGTTTCCAAGAGGAACCCATCCATTTCCAAACTTTTCATGTTCTACCAGCTCTTTGCAATGGTCTCAGGCATTCTGGGACCTGCCACCATCTGCCTTTTGGTAGCAGGTTGGTGGGGGTTTTTTTGTGTTTGAGGACATAATCTGTGCATATGTGAACTTGTGTACAATTTTGAGATCATCTAATGTCCACTGAACACATGGACATACTGTGTAATGTAAATATGATACTGAAGTCAGTTGAAGAAAATGTAAACTTCAACGTGCTGTGTTCCCCTTCTATCATGACCTCCAGGTAGTTTAGTCCTCATTTTTCCTGAGCTGAATCCTGGCAGTGCTTTGGTCATATCTGTGATACCTCCGGCCATTTACCTGGGCCTTTGCTTCAAGCTCAAGGCAGACACTCAGATCACTGTTGCAGCAGTCCTGAGCATCATCTATGCGTTCCTCATGTTGGTGGTGATGATGAGCATCATTGGTAAGTTATGTTGAACTTGAGCCATGTGTAGCTGTTTTATTTATTTGGTAAGAGGTGCAGAAAGGTGCAACAAATTCTTGATCCAATTGTCTTCAGGTGCAATGGTGAAGGAAAAAACCATCCTAACACCCAGCAGTATGTTTATCGTCATCATGGCCCTCATTTACATCGTCACTGCAATACTACATCCTCAGGAGTTTCCTATATTGTTCTATGGCTTTCTCTACATCATCTGCATCCCCAGCGCCTACCTCCTGCTCACCATCTACTCCATGGTCAACATGAACAACGTGTCCTGGGGCACAAGGGAGACAAAACCTGCTCCTGGGGCTGCCAAACCTGCAGCTACCTCCCCACAAACACCAGCACAGAAAGGTAGATAGCAGACTTGATTGTCAGTCCACTCACACCAGACCAGTGTTACTGTTTGTGCTGACTAGTCTCAAATAAATTCTTACCCTTACAGCCAAAGTCTCCTTCCATCGGCTTTTCACATGGGTCAAATGTTGTAAAATATCGAGTCGAAGGTCTGAAGAAGGAGAGCTCGGAGATAACCAGGAGAACCTGAGGCCAGAGCCTGAATGGCCTGAGCCTCAGCCCCAGAACAGTATCGTAGAAGACATAGGAATTGCAGAGGTGGAAGAGAGGTATGTTCTGAAGGTGGTGAAATGCAAACTGTCAGTCACTGAAAGTGTGAGATGATTCCAGCTATGTTTCTGTTTGGATTTCAGTCAAGTGGACCCTATTCCAGAAACTCCCAAATGTATGTCCCCACAATTTGACAAAAATTACCAGAATGTTTTGCAAAAAATGCTAGCATACTTACAAATGTGATGCTATCTAATGTTGTTTATTTTTCCAGGTTGGATCACAATACTACAGGAATTATCCAGTGATGTGAAACTGCAGGAGCACTCACTTGACCAGGTGCATATGTGTCCTTATATTATTTTTATTGATTGCCAGATCTTTTAAACCACATTTAATCATCTCTGCCCTGATTTGTAATTGCTACAGTTCATAAAAAAACCAATGTTGACCATCTTCAGTTTCATCATACTCAATTGGAAAAAATGTCCACACTCTGAAAAACCAATAAAGAGGCTCTTGAAATGCTAAAAATGTTAATTTATTAGACATGTCAAAAGTGATACAGAGGAAAAAATGTGAAAATTTTGATCAAAAGACCATCACCAGCATTCTGCAGAGCCTGTAATTCTTCACACATTTAAGCCGTCTTTACACTGCCACCAGAAACCTTCCAGCTACTGGCCCAGGGTGCCCTCCTTCTGAACACATTAGTGTTTCCATTGTACAGTATGAGCATTGCTCTTGCAGAATATGTTATTGTCAAATCTTTTGCACAGCCGGATTAGACGTCAGCAGTAAACATGCAACAGAGCAAATATGGATTTGAGGCGGGGCTCTTTCTTTGGCTGAGACACTTCCTGTAATTCTTCTCTCTGCCAGTGTAGTCAGGTAGACGGCCAGGTTGGGCGTGGAGTAGAACGCTTTGGGACTTGCTTCTGGGCACGGCCATATAGTCAAAGTCAAAGTCAAAGTGTTTATTTGTCATATGCACATTTACGAAACGTGTTTCCCTGTACAGGGAAATTCTTACTTTGCCGTCCACATGAATGCCACAAAAATACAAATGAAATATAAAGTAGATAAATAAGTAACACAAAATCTAAAGGCACTTTAAGCAGCAACGGCAGCAATATAATAAAAATATATAAGAATATAATAAGAGAATGTATGATGCATCGAAG